TTCCCTTCCATTTCTGTTTTTTGGAACAGCTTCAGAAGAATAGGGAATAATTCCTCCTCCTCCTCCTCCTCCTCCTTCTAAATTTTATTTATTTATTCATGAGAGATGCAGAGAGAGAGAGAGAGAGAGAGAGAGAGAGAGTCAGAGACATAGGCAGAGGGAGAAGCAGGCTACTTGTGGGGAGCCTAATATGGGACTTGATCCTAGGACCCTGGGATCACGACCTGAGCTGAAGACAGATGCTCAACCACTGAGCCACCCAGGCACCCCACTAATACTTCTTTAGATGTTTGGTAGAATTCTTCTGGGAAGCCATCTGGCCCTGGACTCTTGTTTGTTGGGAGATTTTTGATTTAATTTCTTTGCTGATTATGAGTCTGTTCAAATTTTCTATTTCTTCCTGTTTCAGTTTTTAATAGTTTATAGATTTCTAGGAATTGATCCATTTTTCCAGATTGGCATATAAATATTCTCTTATAACCATTTGTATTTATGTGGTGTTGATTGTGATTGTTCCTCTTTCATTTGTGGTTTTATTTATTTGTTTTCTTTCTCTTTTCTTTTTGATAAGTCTGGTTAGGGGTCTATCAATTTGGTTAATTATTTCAAAGAACCAGCTGCTGCTTTCTTTGATCTGGTCTATTTTTTTTAAAATTTCTATATCATTTATATCTGCTCTAATCTCAATTATTTCCCTTCTGCTGGTTTTAGGCTTTATTTGCTGTTCTTTTTCTGACTCGTTTATTTATTTATTTTTTTTAAATTTTATTTATTTATGATAGTCACAGAGAGAGAGAGGCAGAGACACAGGCAGAGGGAGAAGCAGGCTCCATGCACCGGGAGCCCGACGTGGGACTCGATCCCGGGTCTCCAGGATCGCGCCCTGGGCCAAAGGCAGGCGCTAAACCGCTGCACCACCCAGGGATCCCTTCTGACTCGTTTAGATGGAAGATTAGGTATTTGAGACTTTCCTTGTTTCCTGAGGAAGGCCTGTATAGCCATATAATTCTGTCTTATGACCACTTTTGCTGTGTCTCAAAGTTTAGACTGCCATGTTTTCATTTTCATTTGCTTCTGTGTATTTTTTCATTTCTTCTTTAATTTTCTGGTTAACCCATTCATTCTTTGGGATGATAGGTAGGAAGTTCTTTAGCCTCCATTTATTTGTGGTCTTTCCAAATTTGTTCTTGTGGTTGACTTCAAGTTTCATGGTGCTGTGGTCTGAAAACATGCATGGTATGATCTTAGTCTTTTTGTAGTAATTGAGGCCTGATTTGTCAACCAGTGTGTGATCTATTCTGGAGAATGTTCCATGTGCACTTGAAAAGAATGTGTATTCTGCTGCTTTAGGTTGAAAGAAATGTTTTGAATATGTCTGTGAAATCCCTCTGGTCAGGCGTGTCATTCAAAGCCATTGTTTCTTTGTTGATATTCTTAGGTCAGCAGTTTAAATAATCTGTCTGTTGCTGTGAGTGGGGTGTTCAAATCTTTTACTACTATTATATAATTATCAATTATTTTCTTTTTTTTTTTTTTTTTTTTTTTTTTTAATTTTTATTTATTTATGATAGTCACAGAGAGAGAGAGAGAGGCAGAGACACAGGCAGAGGGAGAAGCAGGCTCCATGCACCGGGAGCCCGATGTGGGATTCGATCCTGAGTCTTCAGGATCGCGCCCTGGGCCAAAGGCAGGCGCCAAACCGCTGCGCCACCCAGGGATCCCAATTATTTTCTTTAAGTTTGTTACTAATTTATTTATATATTTGTCTACTCCCAAGTTTGGGGCATAAATACTTATAATTGTTAGTTCTTTTTTTTTTTTTAATTGTTAGTTCTTATTGGATAGAACCCTTTAGTATGTTGTAGTGCCCTTCTTCATCTCTTACTACGTCTTTGGCTTAAAATCTAGTTTGATATAAGTATGCCTATGCCAGCTTTCTTTTAATGTCCGTTAGCATGGTTCTCCATCCCCTCACTTTCAATCTGGGGGTGTCTTTGAGTATAAGATGAGTCTCTTATAAGCAGTATAGTGATGGTCTTTACCCTATGTCTTTTGATTGGAGAATTTAGATTTTAGAGTAATTATTGATAGATACGAATTTAGTGTCATTGTATAACCTATAAAGTTGCCCTTCCTGTAAATTGTTCCTTTGTAGTCTTTGTTTCAAAAGAAAGGCACTAAAAGGTGTCTCTTCCCTGCTCATAGGGTGCCCTTTAACATTTTTGCAGATCTGGTTTAGCGTTCATGAACTTGTTTAGTTTTTCCTTGCCTTAGAAAGTTTATTTCTCTATTCTGAATGACAGCCCTGCTGGATATAGTATTCTTTGCTGCCTATTTGTCCTATTCAGGACATTGAATATATCATGCCATTCTCTTCTGGCCAAGCAAATTTCTGTGGAAAGATCTACTGCTAACTTTATGTGTCTACCCTTATAGATTAAGGACCATTTGTCCCTAGCTGCTTTCAGAATTCTCTCTTCATCTTTGTATTTTGCAAGTCTCACTATGTCTTGTTGTTGACTTGTTTTTGTTGATTTTGAGAGGAGTTCTCTGTGCCTCTTGGACTTGAATGCCTGTATCCTTCCCCAGATTAGGGAATTTCTCAGCCATAATTTGTTCAAATAAAACTTCTGCTCCTTTTTTCCACTATTCTTCTTCTGGTACTCCTATGATACTAATATTATTGTGCCTAGTGGAATCGCTAAATTCTCTGTCTATATTTATGATCTGATAATTTTCTTTCCCTCTTCTTTTTCAGCTTCATTATTTTCCATAGTTTTATCTTCTGTATCACTTATTCGGTTCTCTGCTTTTTCCATCATCTTTCATTACTGTGATTAGATCCAGTCAGTTTTGCATCTCAGTTATATCATTTTTTATTTCAGCCTGACTAGTTTTTAGGTCTTTTATCTCTGCAGCCAGTGTTTCTCTGGTATCCTCTATGCTTCTTTCAAGCCCAGCTAGTATTTTTATGACTGTTGTTCTAAATTCTTGTTCAGATATATTGCTTATATCTGTTTTGAGTAAATCCCTGTTGTGATTTCTTCTTGATCATTCTTCTGGGGAGAATTCCTCTGTCTTGTCATTATGTCCAGGTTTCTGTCTTTCACATGTTATGAAAGCTTGTTGTGTTTTCTGCTCCTGAGAGTAATACTATATTAAGAAGGAGTCCTACACTGTCCAGGGCCTGGCACTTCAGGAAGTGTTTCTGGTATATGCTTTGTGCACTCTGCTATTGTGTTTTGGCTGCTTTCCCCCACAGGTCAGTCCTCTGCAGAGTTCCTCCTTGCTTACAGTGGGGAGTGTTTAGACTTTTAACTAAGTGTGCTTTGATTTAGTTTGTTAAGATATGCTTAAAAAGGACAGGGGGAGCCTGACCCAAGAAAAGAGAAAAGGAAAAGGAGCAACAAACAAATGAACAGACAAACAAACAAAAAAGTATAAGCTTGAGTCCAAAGAAAAAAAGGAAGGAAAAGAAAAAAAAGAAGCCTGATCCAAAAAATTAGAAAAGGTAATAAAGAAACCAATAAATGAACAAAAGACTATGAGCCTCATTCCAAAGAAAAAAGAAAAGAAAAAAAGAAATAAAAAAGAGAAAAAGAAAAAGAAAGCCTGGTTCTGTTTCCACCAGGACTGAAGCTGAGTCTTTGCAGCATTCTATGACCCGTAGACTTGGTACATGAAAGGGTCCTGTGTTGGTCTTCTAGAGAAGAGGCTGGCTTACAGTTAGAACTGCACTTGTAAAGATGCTCCTGCCAGGCACAGGGGCCTCAGGTTTGGTGTAAGGAACTCCAGCCTCCACTGGAGGTGCTGTTTCTCTCTGAAGTCTGGCAGTGCTGGTGGGCACGGGGTGGAAGATGGTGTCACCTTACCCTCTCATCCTGTGAAGGAGAACTTGTGGTCACTGCTTTTTAGAAGGCCCTCACAGAAAAGTGATCAGTCTCCTCTCCTGTGTCTCAGGCTTTCATCAGATCCCTGCCCTCAACCTGTCTGTGCGTGGGCCATGATCATACCTGGTGCCACTGTTCTCCTGTATTTTATTTCTGGCTGTGGCTGGGTTTCAAAATTCCCAACCTTACAGGGTACAGCAAGGTGTGGACCTGCTCCCCTCCCCCAGAGAAGAGCCTCGCAACATTGTGCCTGTTCCTCTCTGCCCCAGAAAAGCAGAGGCCTGGCAGAGCAGGTGACTGGAGTCTATGGTGAAGTCCAGTGACAAGCTGCAAGCAGGTTATCTGCCCTCTGCCTGTGTGTCTGTCCCTGGCTGTTGAACTGCTGCTCAGTGGTGCCCTGTGAGCCTTTCATCCTTGCAGAGGCAAAAACCCTCTTCCAAATGTATCCCTAGAAAAAGAAATTTCTCTCCCTGGGCCACTCAGCGGATCTCCTTACCACAGTGTTTTGGAGAAACCCTGCGCACTGCTCTCTTTCCCTCTCTCCCTGAATTGGTTCTGTAAAAATGACTCCCTTTCCTCTGTGGCACCAAGGCTTTTCTGTCCCCCAGTTTCCGGCTCCAAACTTCATATCTGCCATGTTCTCTCCCTCCAGTTGTGCAGATTGTTTTCTTAATCCTCAGATCGATTTCCTAGGTGTTCAAAAGGATTTGATATTGATCTAGCTGTGTTCGAGGACCGAGGAGCCTACCACTCATCTGTCTTAAGTCCTCCTAGAATTTTAAGTATTTTCTCTCATTTAGTTAATAGAGTATGAGGTCTCTGATGGCAAAGACTATATATTTTAGTATCTTTCTTTTCTCAAGGTACTTGGCATTCATTGTTTACCTCTAATAAATACCTGCTTATCAGACTCAGAATTATTTGGAATGACATGGTGACTATTGACTCTAATATTGCACAAGTTTAAAAAAATCACAAATGTACTTAGTCTTGTAGCTGTGACTGAAAAACGAAGACAATAATTAATGTGAGTGAAATGTGCCACTGTTAGCATGCTATAGTGGATCTACTTGCAGTACATCTCTGCAATGAGTTTCTTCTTTCTTGTAGGAGATTTTTAAAGCTGGAAATACCAATGATGATTCAGGATTGGACTTTGGAGAATTTATGCAGTACCTTAAAGACCACGAGAAAAAAATGAGGCTGGCATTTAATAGTCTGGACAAAAATAATGATGGTATGTGTTTGTGTTTTATTCCCAGTTAGCTTAATATTAATAATTGTCAGTACCAAAGGACATTGTTTTATCAACCTTTAACTGACTTGTACCATCAATGATTTAGTTATTTTTATTACATATCTAGCGGTAATTTTTTGTTTCTGAGAATAATATATAAACTATATGTATATATTATTATATTGTTATAATTTTTGTGTTGTTACTGTTTTTTTTTTAATAAAATAATTTGTCCTCTGAATTTAGAGCTCCTTGGCTTAGGGAGTAGGCCTCTCCGCTCTTCTGCAATGTATGAGCTGAAAGTATATGGTAATTTTAAAAATAACATTGTTTACTTGCTGATTTTGAAAATATTTTGATTGCAGGAAAGTTAGATAACACAGAAAATATCTTAAAAGAAAGTTAAAGTTACTTGTAACCCTGCTGTGTGGAGATCAGTTTTAACATTTTAATGTGTTTTTATATTTCCTTCTGGACTTTCTAGTTTCCGTTTTCTTTCTTGGTTTCTCTTTCTCTCTTTAAATGAAATTGTAGTTACACTACATATCATCTGGTGTCCTACTTTTTTCTTTTAATGTTATAATGTAAGCATTTTCATTTCATTTAATATTCTTCACTTAGTTTTTAATGACTCTGAAATATTCCGTTTATGAGTAGACTTATCATTCCTATATTGTAAGACATTTGGGATGTTTCCAATCTTGTACTCTTATACATAGTGTTGCAACCAGCATCTATGCTGATTTACAGAGGAAAGGTGTACTTTGTCACAAACCCTTAAATCAGAAAGACTATTGGTAAAAGTAGAATACCATTTCTGCATCCAAATGTGGCTAAGCAACCATGGGTAATTAGAACCCAATTATACCCTATTTAGGAAACATATGTATTAATTTTTAAGTTTTCAGAAATCTAGTTTTTGTTAATTGAAAAATTCTAAGTGTACCAAGAGAGCTATACTGTGTACCAGTTCTAAGTGTACTAGCAGATAAGGGTCATACTGATGGATTCTTGGGTAAAACAAAGTGTAACCTGAATGTCGCAGGCTTTAGTGACCTGTGATACCCAAATTTCAGGGATTTCAAGCTTCCATTCACTTTCCAGAAAGAAGTTTAGGCCTTTCTGGGTCCTGCTACTGAAATAATACCCAGAAGCTTTAGTCTATTTACTAATGTTTTTCAGTTAGAACTGGTCATCAATTGCTGCTGATCTTGGCTGGATAGTTCTGCTCTTGTGCTATTCTGGAATTTCACTGTTATTGGTGATTACCACCATGATCATCATTTGGAAGCTGAAAATCCACTGTGTCAGATAACCAGTGAAATTATAATGTCCTTAGTAAAAACACAATGCTACTATTGTCTCTGGTAAAGCTGCAAATCAGTGCTTATAGCTCTTAGTAATAAAGAAAATACTTTTTCTGAGGCAAGATGGAAATCTGAAAGTAATACAGTGATTAGCAATATAAATCTTTGAATTTCTGCCTTGCCTAGTCAAACTGGAATATCACAGCTCAGTCCCCAAAGTTCTGCAGAGGTACTATTGTAGTAGAGCTACTGCCAAATTCCCATGGGCTTCATTTGTTTTGAGCTGTGACAGTTGGTATGAAGCTCTACTGTTGGCCCCAGGGCTACTGCCCACCTGATCTGCAGAGCTTAGGCACTAGCAGAGGTGCTAGGTCTGATTGAGCTGCCTTCTTTCTGTGTCATCATTGTTGCTTCAGTGACCACTTTTGTGTAGAGCTCAGCCAATTTACTTTGGCCAGCATGCTTTTTGTGTGGAAAAGGGAATATATCCTCTGTTATGTGTTGAATTGTGTGCACCCTAAAAAAGATATGTTGAGCCTCCTGTACCTCCTACTGCGACCTTATTTGGAAATAGGTCTTTACAGAAGTAATAAGTTAAAATGACATTAGTGCCCAATACGTAATATGACTGGTGTCATATAAAGGGGAAATTTGAACTCAGAAGCAGATATGCACAGAGGAAGATGATGTGAAATGTCCATTTAGTATCATGTAGTCAGGGATGAACTGATGATGCATCAACAAGCCAAGGAATACCTGCGGCTACTAGAAGCGAGGAGACAAGCACTAACAGATCCTTCTCTGGTATCTTCATAGGGAACATGGCCCTGCTGACATGACACCTTGTTTTCAGACTTCTGGCTTCCAGAACTGTAAGACATAAATTCCTGTTGTTCTAAGCTACCCAGATTGTGGTACTTTGTTATGGCGGCCCTGGGAAACTCCTCCCCTCTGTTATACTTAATCAAGTGTCTGGAATACTAGAATATTTGGGGCCTCAAGGTACAGTTTTCTCAATTCATATGAACATGCAGTCACTTTCTTCCAGAGTGCCCAATTGCTTCCATATTGGCTGAGATAGGGTAATTTCTGGTATCAGGTGTGTGTCATTGACCCTAGAGCCAACATTTCCTTCTGAGTTCTATTACTGGATCTGGCTCATTGCATCAGATCTTCCCCTGCTTTTCCTTCCTGATATCATTGTTCCTGTTGGGACTCTCCCAGCTCATTACACATTGTATTTGTTAAAAATTAATAGTAGACAAGATTCAGTTTTTACCACCTGCTTTCTGTCCCCCAGGAGGCCTTCCAGGCCTTATGCCAATCATTGGGGGCAAGAGGATGCATGTGGGCTGGTGTACTGTTAAACTCACTAGCAGGAAGTGCTCAAGCCCCAATGTGATCTGATCTGATCTATTTAACTTCTCTCAACAAGTAGTATCTGAGCTCCTGCTCCCATTCAGCCAAAATGTCCATGGAATGCAGTTATAATGATGTGAATGACGTAATTATTGAACATAATTTCATCGGTAAGATTCTTCTTTTAATGGATTTTTTTTTTTTTTGGATATTGAGGAAATGGTAGGAAAGGGACTAACTTTATTGGACTTTATTTGCTATGTTTTATTTTTGTCTTACACAAGTCATCACAGTAGCTGCATTTTTAGAGGTGAGAACAAACACTGAGGCTAAGGAAGGTTAAATAATTTTGTTTTCCATTGGCTCTCCCAGTGAATCACATCTCTCAGGATGTATGCCTTTGTTAGCCGTGAACCATACAGGCCTAGGCTTGGCCATTTGACTTACTTCAGCCATTAGTACATTAGCAAGGCTTTAAAAAGTACTTGTACACTGAAACTTGTCCTCTTGGAATTCTCTTTCTTAACATCCTGAGCCACCTGCAAAGAGATCTATCAACCCAGCTGGAGAGATCTCTCATTTAGTTTTCAATTGTTCTACATTTCCATCTGAGCTAACTAACAGACATGAGTGAAACCGTCTTGGATTTCTAGCTGTAGTTGAACAAAACTTCAGATGATTAAATTCACAGGAGGGGCTCAGGCAAGACCAGCAGAAGAACCAGTAAGTTTAATCAAGCACAGATTGCATACTCATAATCAAACACATCGTTTTTAACCACTAAATTTTGGGAGATAGTTTGTTACCTTTTTTGGATAGTTTGTTATTTAGCAATAAATTGTGGTACAGCAATGGAATATTTTGCATTTCTTCCTGGAATTGCAATGCTGGAATGGTTGCGGTCCTCCTCTCTATCTAACTACTGTTATTCTGCTGAATTCATTTCAAGTCTATCTTCTCAGTGAAAATTTGCTGCAAAAAATTAAAGTCAACTTTGAATCTTTAGTTCATAGGCCTTCATCATATTCTGGATCTCATTACCTAATTTTTTCCTACATCTTAGCTTGGAATTTTAACTTCTTTCAGGTAAAAATTGCTTGATGTATTTTAGCTCAATGAAGTAAACAGTTTTTGAGCGCTATATGTGAACTGTTGCACTTGGATTTGTGCTAACAAAAGAGTTCTGAAGTTAACAATTTTGGGTAAATTAATAATAAAGACACAAAAGGTAGACTATGATAGTTGCTGTTGAAGCAATATAGGAAGAGCTTTACTGTGCCCAGGGACAATTTAGTTTTGTGCTGAATCAATACATAAACAGAAAAAAAAAAAAGGCTGAGGGGCTTTTTTTCTTTCCTCTTTCTTCTTTAGGGGCACCTGGGTGCCTCAGTCAGTCGAATATCCAACTCTTGCTTTCGGCTCATGTCATGATCTTAGGGTTGTGGGATGGCGCCCTGTGTTGGGCTCCATGCTCAGCAGCGAGTGTACTTTAGTTTTTCTCTCTCCTCCTCTCCCATTACTCACATGCTCTCTCTCCTCTCTCTTTCTCTCAGATAAATATATAAATATTTAAAAAAAAAAAAACCCAAAGGGTTTCTTGAGCAGAGAGATCATAGTTTGAACAAAGGCAGAATTAGGAAATTGTCAAGGTGAGAACTGGTTAATATGGCATTTCAAGTTTGGCCCTAACTTACTATTTTTGGGGGAAGATTTAATTGACATATAATATATATAGCAATGTGCATAAATTCTAAGTAAAATCTCCACAAATTTTTCTGAGATAAACATACAACATGAAAACAGCATCCAGATTAAGAAGCAGAATATTACTAGCATCTCAGGAATGTCCCTTTTCCATCCCATCCAAATCACTACCACCCTTCAAAGTAGCTATTATCCTGCTTTCTAGTACCGTATGTAAATTTGCAATCAATCTTTGTTAAACAAGTAAGTGTACCTTGCTCATACTGTACCTTTTGCTGAAAAATATTTTTTGTTTCTTTGGTGATCTCTTGTTTATCCTTTATAGTACTTCATCTGTGACTTTTAACTCTTATTTATCCCTGCAGTACTTTTTATTCATAACCTTTCTGTAACATATATTTGGCAAGAGTGATATATTTTTAAAATAAGTAGTTCATCCATACAAGCTCCTCAAGAGCTGTTGTTTTATTAATCTCTGGCTTCTCTCACATTTAACATAGTGATTTTAATAGTACACTTTCAAAAATTTTTTAATTATCAAATTAATGAATATAGTGTTCAAACATTGTAATGGGATATAAAGCAGAGGATTCTGTTTCCCCAGTTGGAGAAAAATTTGATTTCTAGGTTAAGGAATAGACCAGTAAATTCTACCCTGTGGAGCTTGGAACACTAGGGGCCTTGGAGTGATCACAATTCTATGCACAAATACTAGGCTTTGTCTATGGGCTAATACATATGTATGCTATTTATAAATGTATGCAGATGCAGCCATGGTTCATAAAATAGAAAATAAAGATGTGACTGAGTTTATAGTAGTTTTTTGTTGTTATATATTTTTCAACTAGGTGACATTAGGCTGATTTTTTTTAAACATGAAAATGCCCTCATATTGTAAAACATTGAGTAGCCTCACTTATTTGTTTTACACAGGGAGGGATCAAAGATTTTTTGGACTTGGAGAGTGACACGATGATTTAAGTGTTTTGGAGTTTGAGGAGCATATGGAATGCTTAATTTTTCCTTCACAACATCCAGTAGCATGAGATTGTGATGCATAGCAGGCTTGTATTAAATATATCAGTTGATTCAAGTTATTTAACACAGGATATGGTTGTGTTAAAGTTTGCGTTGTATTGTATTTTAGGTATGTTATTTCTTTAAAAACTTACCTCTTTGGAGTTAGCTCTTTAATTTTTTTCCAAGTAGGTACAATAATCTAGATCTGTTGCAGATGTACAGTCTCTTATGAAACCCTTAGGGTAAAATGTATTTAGAAATTTAGAATTTGGGTTTTGAGAAGAGCAATATAGTGCATATATGATATATAATACTCCAAGTGGGGTTTGGAGCATCACAGTGCAATTATATACATGAACATTTCTTCAGTGAAACAAATGAATGATCACACAAAATCGGATAAATAATTGACTACCAAATAAATTTTGGTGCCAAATTTATAAAAAGTCATGTAGTTTTCAGAGCTTTTAGCCTTTGTATTGTGAATATGGGAATACAGGTAAAAAAATATGGGCTTTTAAAAGACTATTGTATTCTAAGTATATTTTGCCTTGTTATCTTTTAAGATACTTTAATTTGATATTTTTTCACTTTTTAAAGGAATAATAGAAACTTCAGAAATAATTGCTGCTTTGAAATCACTGGGTATGCATATTTCTGAAGCTCAGGCAAAAAAAATTCTACAAAGGTCAGCCCTTATCTTTATTTTTGATAGTTTTAATTTTTATTTAATATTCCATGTTAGAAAGTAATTGCTATAGGTGTAGCTCCTCCCTCTCTCCCTGCCTGCCTGTTTAGGTTTGATAATATCAGCTTTTATTGACAGTGTTATAAGAAAGATTGTTAAGAAATTTATTGAATTATGAGAATACTGTTGACTAAATCATAAAGTGTACATACTTTATAGAGTTCCTAGAATAAAATTCTCCCTGCTTTTAGTTTAAAGAATAGGTGTAATTTGCTTGAGCAATTGATTTTTAAAATTTTTAATTTTTTGATGTATAAAAAGCTGTGCATAATTAATATATGCAACTTTATGAGTTTGGAGGTAAGTATATACCTAGGAAACTATTACCACAATCTATGCCATAAACATATCCATCCCTTCCAATGTTTCCTCTCTTATTTATTACTATTATTTTTTTGTGATTAGAAACTTATCATATAAGAAACTATTTTTTTGTAGTTAAAACTTAAATTTGTTTATATTTTATTGAGGCATAATTGATGTGTAATGTTAGTTTCAGGTGTACAATGTAATATATATATTTTTATCACAGTAAGTCTAGTTAACATCTGTCACCATATGTAGTTAAAATTTTTTTCTTGTGATGAGAACCTTTAAGATTTACTCCCTTAGCAACTTTTAAAAATATGCAGTATGGCATATTACCTATAGTTACATGCTATACATTACATTCACATGACTTACTTATTTTATAACTGGAGTTTGTAACTTTCGACCTTTTTCACCCATTTCACTCATCCCCTAAACCTCTGCCTCTGGCCGCCACCCACCAATCTGTTGTCTGTATCTATGATCTTTTCTTTCTTTTTCTTTTTTTTTTTTTAAGATTTCACTTATGAGTGAGATCAAATGGTATTTGTCTTTCTCTGTGTGACTTATTTCACTTAGCAAAATGCCCTCAAGTTCCACCTATGTTGTCTTAAATGGCTAGATTTCCTTCTTTGTTGTGACTGAACAATATTCCACAGCAAGTGCACATGTGTATATGTGTGTGTGTGTGTGTGTGTGTGTGTGCATCATGCCACATTTTCTTTATCCATTCATCCATTAGTAGACACTTAGGTTGTCTCTATGTAAGAACAATTAACATAAGATATGTTTTAGAAACTTTTAAAATGTTCAACAGTAATTCTTATACTTAGTACTTATTTTTAGAGTATTTGTTATAAATGTTATAAGCACTATTTTTGTTTTAAATTCCAGCATCGATGGTGATGGAACATTGACAGTAGACTGGGATGAATGGAAGTACTACTTTTTACTTCATCCTGCAACAAATATTGATGAAATTGCTCATTTCTGGAAGCATTCTACTGTAAGATTGCTTTATATTTTGCTCTATTTTTCTTTTTGCCACAAATGTCATATCTGTTATTATGATTACATAATCTTTATAATACTTCCAGCCTCAGTGGCTAAAATAACAACACTATTCCCTCCTTATAATGTTCTACTAGTTGAGCAAAGAGTGTTAGTATTATATGTACAAACGTAGCTATTACAGTTTCTTTGTCTGCTAAAACTTAGAACTTACGGTAGATACTCATTTACTGAAAGGGTCTACTTTGTGTTGGGAATTACTCTGATATAGTTAACTGTCCTAGGAAAGTGGAAAAATAATATACTTTTCTCTTTTTCACAGAGTATATCAGGAATGATATACTCAGCTTTCTGTCCTAGGAAATGTAAAGTAAAAGATTAAGACTCAAAATTTCAGAATCAGAAAGGAATAAATGTATAATCTATCTGTTCTTGTTATGTAAGCACTTGACTCAGAGTAGTGGGGGACAGATGAGGTTTTATAATAAAACACTTTTTTCTTTTTTAGACCTCAGATGCAGAGGGTTAAGTTAATCATTTATTCATGGCTACTATTTGCATCCCTCTCATGGATACTATAGGGCAGGATGAAGAGCAGAGGTTTCAGAGTCAGATGCCTAGGGCTGAGCTTCACTTCTGCCAACCACTAGCTATATAACCCCTCTGTGCCTCAGTTTTCTCAATTATATACTGGAGATAACAATGGTAAGAGTTTTGAGAATTAGTACATTAGTGAATTTAGAAAAGAGCTGGGCAGGCAACATATATCTTCAATAAATGTTACTTATTATGATAGGTACTTATTCTAACATGTATAGTCTGTGTCTTCGATATGTATATATTCTTAGGAATCATGTAGTGTTTCGTGTGTGTGTGTTTAATTTACATAGATAGTAGTCTGCTAAAGGCCACAATTGATTTCCTGCTTTGTTCACTCGGCGTTATGATTTTAAAATTTGTCCTTGATATTATGTGTTCACCTAGTTTATTGCTTCTAACTACTACATAGGATGCATTTAGCACTCTTCTTTATCCATTCCCTAGTAATAGACATCTAGATTTTCTCCAGCTTCATCAAATAAATCAATAAATCAATAAATGCAAGCTTTCCTCTTTTGTACCTTAGAGAATTTCACCTGGATTTCTGAATCAAAAGGATATATTATGCCTTTGCAAATTTTATGAGGTTATCTGGTCTTAATCCTAAGAAAGATAGCCATGTTACCTCCCAAATGACTTTATATACCAGCTTACATTCCCACCAGCAATGCATGAAGGTTCCTGTTTCTCTACAAATTGCTTGGTATTATCCAATTTTCTATTATTTTCACTCTGTTGAGTATAAGGTGGTATTTTGTCTTAATGTTCATTCCTAACATGTCTTCATAGAAATACTAGATAGTTACATGTTCTTTTCTATGAATTGTCTGTTTTTATCTTTGTCTATTTTTTTTCAAGATTTGTTGAGATAGAATTGACATATGACATTGTGTGAGGTGTACAACATGATATTTGATACACTTATGTATTGTGAAATGGTTACCACAGTAGGGTTGTTAACACCTTCATTACCCTCATATAATTGTCATTTCTTTTTTGTGGTGAGAACATTTAAGATTTATTCTCTTAGCAACCTTCAGTACATTATGAACTGTAATCACCATGCTGTATGTTAGGTCCCCAGAATTTATTCACCGCATAACCAGAGGTGAATATGTCCTTTTGTCCTTTGACCAACACCTTCTCATTTCCCTCAATCCCCAGCTCTTGGTAACTACCATTCTACTATTTCTATGAATTTGGCTTTTTTAGATTCCATATGTAAGTGATGCCATAAAATATATTTGTCTTTCTCTGGTTGATTCATTTCATTTAGCATAATACCCTTGAGAACCATCCAAATTGTTGCAAATAGCAGGATTTTCTTCTTTCTAATGGCTGGATAATAATCCATTGTGTATATGGCAGCTTCTTTATTTATTCATCTATGGCACTTAGGTTATTTCCATAACTCGGTTATTATGAATAATGCTGCAGTGAACATGGAGGTACAGGTATCTTTTTGAGATCCTGATTTCTTTTTTTAATGCTTTATTTATTTATGAGAGAGAGAGGGAGAGTGTGCATACTTAAGCAAGCAGGGGAAGAGGCAGAGGGAGAGGGAGACAAGTAGGGAGGGACCCTGAAATCATGACCTGAGCAAAAATAAAGAGTTGGACACTTAACTGACTGATTTGTCTAATGTTTACTTTTGTTACTTATTCTCTTGGTGTCATATCCAAAAGGTCATTGCCAAGACCCACGTAAAGGTCATTTTTCCTTGTTTCCTTTAAGGAGTTTTACAGCTTCAGATCTTATGTTTGAGTTTTTAATCCATTTTGAGTTAATTTTTCTGAGGGGTTTAACGTAAGGATCCAATTTCATTCTGCTGCATGTGATTATCCAGTTTCCCCAACATCATTCTTTGAAGACACTATTCCTTGTCCATTAAATATTCTTGGCTCCTTTGTCAAATATGAGTTTACTGTATATGTAAGGGTTTATTTCTGGGCTCTCAATTCTGTTCCATTGGTTTATGTATCTATATTTGTTCTGGTATCATACTATTTTCTTTACTATATATAGCTTTGTAGTATAGCTTGAAATCAAGGAGTATATTGCCTCCAGCTTTGTTCTCTCTCAGGTTTGGTTTGGCTATTTGGAGTTTGTGTTTCCATGTGCATTCTAGGATTTTTTTTCTATTTCTGTGAAAAATGCCATTGGAATTTTGTTAGGGATTGCATTGAATGTATAGGTGGCTTTGGGCATGTGGACATTTAACAGTATTAATTCTTTCAATTCACGAGCATAGTATATATTTCCATTGATTTGTGTCATTTTCAATTTCTTTTATCAATATTACCTAGTTTTCAGTGTGCAAGTCTCTTACCTCCTTGGTTAAATTTTTTCCTAAGTATTTTATTGTTTTTGATGCTATTATAAATGAAATTGTTTTTATATTTCTTTTTCAGATATTTTGTTGTTAGTGTATAGAAATGCAGCTGATTTTTATATATTGATTTTGTATCTTGCAACCTTACTGATTTCATTGATTAGTCCAAACAGATTTTTGGTGGAGTCTTTAGGATTTTCTATATGTAATACCATATCATTTGTAACAGAGACAATTTTACTTTCCCTCTGATTTGGCTGCCTTTTTTTTTTTTTTTCCAAGAAAGAGTGTGTAGGGAAGGGCAGAGGAAGAAGGAGAGAGATTCTTAAGCAGGCTCCATGCTCAGTATGTAACCTGACACGGGGCTCAGTGTCATGACCCTGAGATCATGATCTGAGCTGAAATCAAGAGTTAGAAGCTTAATTGACTGAGCCACCCGGGTGCCCCTAAATGCGTTTTATTTCTCTTTCTTGCTCAACTGCTGTGGCTAGGACTTTCAGAATTTTGTTGAATAGGATTGGTGAGAAGAATAGTCACCAATTATCTTGTTCCTGATCTTCAAGGAAAGGCTTTCAACCTCTAATCATTGAATATTATGTTAGCTATGGGCTTGTCATATATGGCCTTTAATATGTTGAGTTATATTCATTCCATACCCAATTTTTTATAGTTTTAATCAGGGAAGGACGTTGAATTTTGTCAAATGCTTTTTCTGCGTCTATTGAGATGATCATATGATTTTTATCCTTAATTCTGTTAGTGTGATATATCACATTTTTTGATTTGTGTATGTTTAACCATCTTTGCATTCCAGGGGTAAATCCCATTTATCGTGATCCTTTTAATATGCCATTGCATTCTATTTGCTAATATTTTTGTTCATTAGGGCTATTGGTTTGTAGTTTTCTTGTAGTGTCCTTGTCTGACCTTATTATCAGAGTAATACTGGTATTACAAAAATGAGTTTGGAAGGGTTCCATTCTTTTTATTTTTTTGGTAGGGTTTGGGAATGATTGGCATTAATTCTTCTTTAAATTTTGGTAGAATTCACCAGTGATACCATCTGGTTCTGGGCTTTTCTTTGTTGGGAGATTTTTTGATTAGCGATTCAATTTGCTTTGTCATTATTGGTCTGTTCAGATTTTGTTTCTTCATGATTCAGTCTTAGTAGGTTGTATGTGCCTAGGAATTTCCCTAATTCTTCTAGATTATACAACTTATTGGCATATAATTGTTCAAAGTAGTGTCTTATGACCCATTGTATTTCTGTGGTATCAGTTGTAATGCCTCTTCTTTTGTTTTAGCTTTTATTTATTTGAGTCTTCTCTCATTTTAGTCTAGCTAAGTTTTGCCAATTTTGTTTACCTTTTCTTAAAAAACAGTACTTAGTTTTGTTGATCTTTTATTTTTGTTTGTTTTTGGTCTCTATTCCATTTATTTCTGCTCTGATCTTTATTATTTCCTTCTTTTTGCTCACTTTGGTTATCACCCAGCTATCCTATCCCTCCATCCACCCCCTCACCCCCGCAGTGACTCTCAGTTTGTTTCTGTGTTAAGAGTTTGCTTCCCTCTCTGTTTTCATCTAATTTTATTTTTCCTTCCCTTACCCTATGTTCATCTGTTTTGTTTTCTTAAATTCCACATATGAGTGAAATCATATGGTCAGTCTTTATCTGACTTATTTCATTTAGCATAATACTAGTTCTTTAAGGTTTAAATTTAGATTGAGATTTTTTTTGTTTCTTGTGGTAGGCCTGTATTGCTATGAACTTCCCTCTAAGAACTGCTTTTGCTGTGTGCCATAAGTTTTGGTATGTTGTGCTTTCATTTGTCTCAAGGTATTTTTTTCATTTCCCCTTTGATTTCATCTTTGACTCATTCAGAGGCCTTAGCCTCTGCATTATCTCCTTTATTTTTGTGTTTAAATATCCTGCACTTAAGCACAAGATTTAACATATTTAAGTCAGTACCATTTTTAAAAAGTGTAATCCTACTGAAGTCCCCTCTAGCTGCCTTATCTTTTTTCTCTCTTCACAGCTATACTTCTCATTCACTTCTCAACTAACTGGCTTTGCTTTCACTACTTTATAGAAATTCTTTTACCAAGCCAATCTCCCTACTGTTAGTTCAGTGGGTATTTTCTAGATCGTCCTGCTTTCTCTTTTCAAATGTTCTCTTCAGTTGGCTTCCTTGGCAGTGCATTCTCCTAGCTTTCTTCCCACCTCTCTGTCATTACTTTTCTGTCTCCCTTGAGGATCATCTTCCTCAGTCTGTCTCATATATTAGTTTTCTTCTATGTTCTATTTTCAACCTTCCTTGCCTCTCACTCTGTACATTTTTTTCTAGGCAATCCTAATTACTCTTCCACGTTGAGCTACCAGATACAGACCAATTGATTGCTCCAAATCTTATGTCTTTGGAGCACACCTTCATTCTACATGTGCAAGCATTTATTGGATATTAATTGGGACACCTCAAACATATACCACATCATTTGTCCCCTAGACCTTCTTTTACCATTTCACTGAATGATGTCATCACCTTCCTCGTTGCCCAAGCCAGAAATGTCAACATTATTCTAAAGTCTTTAGCCTTGCTTTACCTTCTTTCCATCCCTATAGATAGTCTTGCAGTTCTTAGAATATCTGCTGTCTTTGAACAAATTATTTTCTTTGCCTAGAACATTCCGTTGGTTAATCCCTACTTCTATAGGGAGATAGTACAGTGTGATGGACAAGAAAGCAACCTTTGGGGATCTCTGGGTGGCTCAGCGGTTTGGCGCCTGCCTTTGGCCTGGGGCGCGATCCTGGGGTCCCGGGATCGAGTCCCGCATTGGGCTCCCAGCGTGGGGCCTGCTTTTCCCTCTGCCTGTGTCTCTGCCTCTCTCTCTCTCTCTCTCTCTCTCTCTCTGTGTGTGTCTATCATGAATGAATAAATAAATAAATCTAAAAAAAAAAAAAGAAAGCAACCTTTGAAGTCAGAATACCTGGATTCATATTACTTTGCTACTTCTAAGTCACTTTACATAAAAAGTGTACCTCCACAGTTCCACTCATCTCCTCCCACCACAAAAATAAAAGAATTCTACACTCCATTAAATATCTCTGTACTGCGTTAAGACACTCTTTTTGCTACCCCTGTTACCATACTTATTCCTCTGTATTATAACTGCTTGTTTCCTTTCCTGTCTTTTGTATTATGCTGTAAGATCCCAGAGGAAAGAAACTAATTTCTGCACCATATTATGAATACACAGTCCAGCACCTGATGTGTTAATTAATTCAGCAAATATTTACTGAGCACACTTATCTCCACTGACCAAAGTGCAAGGTATACAACCACGCACGAAAAAGACCACATTGCTGCTCTTCTCAGGCTTATGTTCTAAAGGAGGAAACAAGCAAAAGATGGAAATGAATTAATTAGTATTGTACTAAGTATTAGAGAGGACTCCATGGAAAGAGCCAAGGAGAAATGTCCTAGGTAAAGGGAAAATCAAGGACGAAGTCCTGAGGTGGAATGGTACTTGTGAAGGGGACACTCAATGAATGCATAAATGAAGGTGGGAAAACTAAGAAGCAGGGAAGTGACTTGTCACTTGAAACCTAGTGATTGACAAGTGAAAAAAAACGAAACTAATCCCTGCGTCATGTGACACTCTCACCAGGGAGTCACATTGCCTCAACATTTAGTAAAAAATGGCTAATCTTAGCAAAAGTATGTATGATGACTAAAAACAAAGTGAAATGCAAACGCTGTTCAAGTCCAGAGTTTTAAAAACAAAATTGTCATTTGAGAGAAGAGTCAATGTAAATAATAGAGAAAGAAGTTAAAGCGTTTAAACTACTACTCTCGAATTCTGACAGAAGGTAAGTACATAGTGGAATTTGAGAGACTTTGAAACAAAATAGAGAAACCTAATTAAGCATTTATTCCTAAAATATTGTGTGGCAGGCATTGTGCTGTGTGACTAGGACATGATCCCTGCCTGAGAGTTTACATTTTACATGGAAAAGATGAATCTAAATAGCTTGATAATTTAAAATTAATAACTCTAATTTAATAGGAATGTATTTTACAGATTTTAAATCTATATGTGAATGTATTATTAAAAATCATTTGGTCTAGTACAAGTGGTGAGAAAATTGTCAGTATTCATTAACAGGAGGTGAGATATGAAAACAGTCTTTGGGTTTTGGTTTTTGTAAAAAAGTTATCCTTTAAAAAAATTATCCTATTAGTTTACCAAGAGTTTATACTTTTCTTTATTGTGTAATTCATGTTTACATTTCATCAGATAATTGACATAGGGGAGAGTATATCTATTCCAGATGAATTTACTGAAGAAGAAAAGCGTTCTGGAGATTGGTGGAGGCGTTTGGTGGCAGGAGGAATAGCTGGTGCAGTTGCAAGGACATGCACAGCACCTTTTGATCGCTTGAAAGTCATAATGCAGGTAGTTTGCTCACTTTACTCCTTAAGCATTAAAGTAACTTGAAAAACCCTGGATGGTTTTCAAAAAGAAAGGTTTTAGCACATTTCATACTATTTCTCTTTAAAATTTCACATTTTTCTGAAAGTGTAAATTTTCTTATTTGCAATATTAAAATATTTCTTAATTTTCTTAAGGATGCTTGTGTGCTATTTAAATTAATTTTTATTTGAAGTAATAATAGAACACTCTACTAGAAGTTTTTTCAGAACTCTAACTGAATATATCAAAGAAGTTATAAGATACAATTAGTCTTATTTATCGATTATCTATAGACCCTGGCAACTACATAATAGCATGGTTCTATTGTACTATTTAAGTATAAAGCATATTTTTAGGAATTGGAAAATAAGTTACTTAGAGTGTACTATTGATTGATATTTCACTAGAGGTAATGTTGTCTAATTATCTTTATTTTACTGAATAATGAATTGTCAATAGTTTTAAAATAGTGCATAGTTTAATCTGTGAACTGTCATAATTAAAATTTAGTATTTGCTGAATACTTTCATCACAAGGGTATAAAAATTAATAATTCACAATCTAATGAGTTTAAATTTGTAATTAAATTCATATACCTGGGTGTTTTATTGTCTTTGCTTTTTTTGGTAACCTTGGTGACGTTTGGTAATGGGTTATGAATAGGTTTTTTAATTGTTGTCTGATCTCTATTTGTTATTCTTAGAAAATCTTACTTCTGATAGACTCAGATATAGAGGTAGGAGCTCTCAGAGGTGATAGCCTACATTTCTCAACAAGCTTCCTGAAATTCTCCTTTGGCTTCCTTCCTTCTCTTGGCCAAAAGTTTAGCGTGTTCTGTGGATTCTTCCTTATTTTTCTTAGCATGTTTCTTCAGAGGCATCATTTGTGTCTCAGGACACATGGAGCAATGAGATGCTGAATGCTGGGCCCTTGGGTCCTGGGTTTCACACCTCTTTGTTCACAGGCTTTCTGACAACATAGTGGTGGGCATCACCTTCTGCAGAGATTAAAAAGTTTGCAGATCCTGCTAGCTTTTGTGGGCACCAGGTGATGAGGCACAGTAGTATCAGCCTAGAAATACCCTTTTTGTCCTTTTTTACAATTATGAAGTTGAGAACACTCAGGTCTGATCCAAAATGCAACCCTGAACAGATTTGGGCTTTCTTTGTCCAGATCTCCTGTGTCTATAGAAGGAATGCCCCTTACTTAGTAGCAGTGCTCACCTTATGAATAATTTATATATTATTTTTTGTTTTTGTGATTAACAGTATAGCATGAGCATGTTTTCATGTTATTTCAAATATTCTTCAAATATTTCAAATATTTGTGTATTCATCAGGTATAGATTTTAATGGCTGTATTTCAAGTAGATGTGTCATATTAATTTTTTTATTGTTTTTTTCCTATTCTTGGACATGTACTTGGTTTTTAAAAATTTTTAAATTATAATTCAGAATTGTTCATAATGATGAATATCATTGCTTGTAAATCTTTTTTGTATTTAAGATTACTTATTTAGAAAGAGTTCCTAGAAGTTAAGTAATGCTATGAACATTTTTAAGGCTGTGTGTGTGTACATGTGTGTATACTGTTAAATTCTATTCCAGACTTTTTCTTCACACAGGACATGAGAATGCCCATTTTACTTTGCTTTCTCATTATTATTCTCATATATTTGAGATAAGAGGGTGTTTTACTAATGTTCTAATTTTAACTTTCTTAAAAATAAATAATAATATTATTTTTATTATAAAATAATACATTAGAAAAAAATGGGAAACTACAAAAAAGTATAAAGGAAGACATTAAAAATGACCCGTAATCCTTGTGTATTGGTTTGCCAAGAATGCCCTAACAAAATATCACATACTGACTGGCTTACACAACAGAAGTTTATTGTCTCACCGTTTTGAAAGCTCTAAGTCTGAGATCAAGGTATCTGCATGGTTGGTTCCTTCTGAGGGCAGTGAGGAAAGGATCTGTTCCAGGCCTCTCCTCTTGGCTCATAGATGGCTATCTTTTCTCTATGTCTCTTCATATTGCCTTCGCCCTGTACATGTCTCTGTCCAAATTTCCCTTTTTTATAAAGACAGTAATCATATCAGATTTTAGAGCACACTTTTAGACCTTACTATAAATTGATTATCTCTATAAAGACCCTAACTTCAAATAAGATTACATTCTGAGGTAATGGGTGTTAGGACATCAACATAGAAATTTCAAGGGGACAAAGTTGAAGCCATAACAGGTTGCTACCTAAAAGTATCCACTATTGAAAATTTGATGTATTTTCCTCCATTCCTTTCTCAGTGCATATTTCAGTGTACTCTTTAATTTTAGCAGCAACAACATATTTTGTGTATGCAAAAATTCTCTGATAATTAAGTTATTCCTGTTTTCTTTAAGTTGTTCTCTTTGATATATAAGATTAAAGTGTGTATTTGGGAATAACAACAACAAAAATAATCTATCAATTTTATATGTCTCTAAAGGACAATGAAAATGGCATTGAAGTTCATAGATGTATACATTTATGTATCATCATTACTTTATTAGCAATAATAACATCAATGACATATTACCAACAAAATAAATTTTAAAATAAATTTCCTGTTCATTTGTAGGTTCATAGTACAAAGTCAAGGAGAATGAGATTGATTGGCGGTTTTGAGCAGATGTTAAAAGAAGGAGGAATTCGCTGTCTTTGGCGGGGAAATGGTGTAAATATTTTTAAAATTGCACCTGAGACAGCACTCAAGATTGGAGCCTATGAACAGGTAAAATGTTATCACCTATGGAATTATGTGATAAAGATCAAATTTTATTTTATGATTTTTAAATTTTTATTTATTTATTTCTCAGATTGAGAGAGACAGAGAGAGAGGGAGAGAGCACACAGGCAGGGGGAGGGGGAGGGGGAAAGGGAGAAGCAGGCTCCCACTGAGCAGGGAGCCTGATGCAGGACTTGATCTCAGGACCCTGGGATCATGACCTGAGTCAAAGACAGACACTTAACCCAACTGAACCACTCAGGCATCCCAAAGATCAGACTTTAAATTTAATTTAAAAAAATTAGACTTTAACGAGAGAGAAAACTGGAATGTACACAGCAGTAAATGTCACTGTAAATACAGGCATACTGAGAAGATATTGCTAGTTTGGTTCTGGATGAGCTCAATAAAGTGAGTCAAATTTTTGGTTTTCTAGTTCATATAAAAGTATGTTTACACTGTACTGTAGTCTATTCAGTGTATGATAGCATTATGTCTAAAAAATCCTATGTATATACTCTAATTAAAAGTGCCAAGCATCATCTGAGCTTTCAGCGAGTTGTGATCTTTTTGCTGGTGGAGGGTCTTGCCTGGATGTTGAGGGCTGCCAACTGAGCAGGGTGGTGGTTGCTGAAAACTGGAGTGGCTGTGGCAATTTCTTGAAATAAGACAAAATGATGTTTGCTACTAGCATAGGGGACCTTTTGAAGCTCTACATTGTTTCCTTAGTAACTCTGTTACCTTTACATTTATATCCTGGGACTGATTTTTAGCAGTCTATAAGGATCTCTTTGAATGCTGCAATGAAGGCCTTATAGGGTTCATAACATGGTTTAAGGAGATAGTTAGCCAAGTTGACATTGTCTTCCTTCAGAGTTTCTAAGACAATGAATTAGAATCAGCCAACTCCACAATCCTTATAATTATGCCCATGCTGTTCAAGTATTAGGGCAGCTGCATAATGTAATGTTTTTCTGTCTACTAGTACTTCATCCCAAGCTACTATGACTATGAACCTTAATTATCGTAATGCTACAGCATACCATAGATTATCATCATCCCACTTACCAACAAAGATCCCATTGTTTGCTAAGTGACTGGTGAGTGATCCAGTTCTAACATCAGCAGGCCATCTTTGTAGGACCACTTTCCAAAGAACCAGCTTTTGATTTTGTTGATTTTTCTCCATTAAATCTCTATTTTCAATGTCACTGATTTCTGTTCTAATTCTTATCATATTTTTTCTTCTGCTTACTTTGGATTTAATTTGCTCTTCTTTTTCTAGTTTTCTGAGGTGGAAACAGATTACTGATTTTTAGATCTTTCATATTTTTAAGTATATGTATTCAATGCTATATATTTCCCTCTATGTACTCCTTCTCACTCCTTTTGAGAAATTGTGTCATTTTAATTTAGTTAAAAATATTTTAAAATTTCTCTTGAGACTTCTTCTTTGATCTGTGTTTTATTTAGAAGTGTGTTTTTAAATCTCCACATATTCTGATATTTTAAAAGATTATCTTTCCATTATTTATTTCTAATTTTCATTGTAGTCTTAGAGCATCCATTCTTTTAAATTTGTTAAGGTGTGGGCTATGGCCCAGAATGTGGTCTTTCTTGGTGAATGTTCCATGTAAGCTTGAGAAGAATGTGAACTCTGCTACTGTTAGATGAAATAGTCTATGGATATCAGTTGATTGATGGTGATGTTGAGTTCAGCTATGTCATTACTAATTTTTTTTCCTGGATCTGTCTATTTCTAACAGAGGTTGCTGAAATCTCCAGCTTTAATAGTGGATTCATCTATTTCTCTTTGTACTTCTATCAGTTTTGACCTCATGTAGTTTGGTGCTCTGATGAAAGGCACATATGGGCTAAGGATTATTACATCTTCTTGATAATAAACCCCTTTATCATTGTTAATGCCCTTCTTTATCCCTGGTAACTTTTCTTTGTCTGAAGTCTGCTCTGTCTGAAGTTAATATAGCTACTCCCACTTTCTTTTGATTGGTGTTGACATGGTATAATTTTCTTCATTCATTTACATTTAATCTATATGTGTCTTAATATCTAAAGTGAGTTTCTTGTAGACAATATATAGTTGGGTCTTGTTTTTTGACACACTCTGACAATCTCTGACTTTTATTTGGTATATAGGCCTACTTTTGAAGTAATACCAACTGTTTTAATTTGAATTCCCCCCCCCCCCAAAGAGTCTAGGTGCAGCTAGTTTATTTGTGAGGAAGAAGGAACAGTGAGACACAGAAGGAAGAAGAGCCAATATAAGGGTATAAGTAAGGTTTCAGCTATAGGTGGTAGGGGCTTGATTCTGAGGGAACTTCTAGGAAGTGTACGGAATAGCTCCCAGAATTATCTGTCTGACGGAAGAGAGCTGAGCTATTTATCTACCAGGTTATGTCCTATATTATATGAGGATTGCTCTTAGGACTTTAAATTCCCCAGACTTCTGGGCTGGATAGGCTCCCATAGCTTCAGAGAAGGCCCTGAGGCAAAAAAGAAGAGAGATGAGAGGCTTTTGCTTTTGATGTGTTTCTGTCAGTGAAGTGAATCTGTGAGTCTGCGCAGAACTGTCCAGATGTGAGGTGGGGCTCTGGAAGTGTCTACCATGGCCAGCTAAAGCCTGCTTAGGTTTGGGGGCCTGAGAGTTGCTTCAGAGAGCAATAGAACATAGGGTTTTATAGGCTTTGCTTATGGGTTTTCTAGCATACAGTTCTTTCAAAAACTTCTTACACTTCTTCTCTGTTTCTAGTCAGTATCACATGGAGTAGCAACATCCAAAAATCTCTCCTCTGATATTTTATTTTCCAGCTCCTGTGCTTAGTCATTTCCATTCTCTCTCATTTTTATAGCAGGCTATGTTGATGTCAATGGAAACAATAGGCTGAAATCAGATGACAACACCCCTAATCTGATTTTGTCAGATAGGCAAGCTCTTTAAAACAATCTCCTTTCCTTGTGTTGGGGTACATTGTAGGTGGCTTTTCCGACTAGAAACCCACCATTGTTAACTATCAAGTCAGGCTAAGAGAACTCCCTTAGCAGAGCTCCATTTCTGCTTGAAAATTGGCTTTGGAGAAGACTCTGAGGCAGAAAAACAGAGAGCTGCATTAGCTCATGTCTTAAAAGATCTTGATAAAAGCAGCAAGGAGTGGGCAACACCGACCACCATTCTGAGATTTTACAGTTAGTTTTCCTAGAACTTTAGGCTCGAAAAGCACATGATATACCTTCCAAATTATCATAGGCAGTTTTATCATGCATTTTCACAAAGCATTAGAAAGATCATCATCTTTTTAGACTGTAATATCTGTGTCCTAACAATAAAGCCAGTGTCATATATTTTAGGTTTTATTTATGGTATTACCCCACATCTAGTAACCAATTTCTGCTCTTGTTGGGGTTCATCCTAAGCTGTTATAATGAACATATTCCAAAATACAGTAGCTTAATGAGATAGAGGCCAGGGGTCCAGGGCTAGCAGTACACCGCTCTGCCATCTTCAATACATGGCTTCAGAGGTTGCTTCCATTTTTGCCATTCCTCAGGTGGAGGAAAACATAGTCTGGGATAAGCATCTTTAATGAGATGTCAGAATTTGCATACTCAATTTCTCTTTTTACTCACTGGCCAAAATTAGTCACTCAGCCACACAACCTAGCTGCAAGAAAGAGGGAAGTGTAGTTTGCAGCTGAGTCAGCTCTATTACTAAAAGGAGGAAGATAGTGGGTACAAGGGACATACAGCAGTCTCTATTACCAACTGAATCAATCACACTTTCTTTATTTTTTTTTAAGATTTTTTATTTATTCATGATAGAGAGAGAGAGAGGCAGAGACATAGGCAGAGGGAGAAGCAGACTCCATGCCGGGAGCCCAACGCGGGACTCGATCCTGGGTCTCCAGGATCATGCCCTGGGTCAAAGGCAGCCGCTGAACCACTGAGCCACCCAGGGATCCCCAATCACACTTTCTGATGGGGAGTTACTGATTTGAGAACTAGAGTTAGTTCATAGAGAATAGCTGAATCATATTGATGATAGGCCTCTAGAAACACCAAACAGGAAAACATCTTGCCTAGGAGGTGACAAGATAATCAGTTTGCTAATGCTATTTTGGATCCTTAATGAGTTTCTAGTTTCAATCTCCAAGAAGCTTGACTTACTGTAGTTCCTGTGAAGCCTGGACCTTTATGCTATTTGTTTTCCTTATTTCTATATGTGTCATTGCAGTAACCTCCCTGCTATGTAAGTTAACTGGAGTAACCCATTATTTCTTGTAACGGAAAGAGCCTCTCACATTGTTACTATTCTTGATTATCCAGTAATCAAACAATATTAAGTACCTTGCATATGTAAGGCATAGGGCTTTAGTCTATTTAGAGATAACATACATAATCCTTTCCCCCTTTTTGTCATTTACATGCTTTTTATGAAATAGTACATTCATGAATATGCTTAAATGACTCACTCTTGCTAGCTCATTTTGTGGGGAAAAAAAATTGGAGGCCTATAGAGAAGTCTTATTTATTATCTTAGACAACTAATTGCATAAAAATTAAAATCAAGTATTCCTCTAGATGCTAATATCAGATGTCTAGAATACTTTTTCAAATAATTTTATAATACTAATTAATGTTTTAAACTTAGGAACTATATATATAGATATATATTACATTTCAGTAATTTTATACATTTCAATACTTTTATTTATACAGTATAAGAAGTGGCTTAGTTTTGATGGTGCTAAAATAGGAATTATTGAGAGGTTTATATCTGGCTCATTGGCTGGTGCAACTGCCCAGACCTGTATTTACCCCATGGAGGTATGTATTATTATAAAACTTTAAGTAAAGTAATGCTTTCAACACAAATTATAACATTTTTAAAAAGATTTATTTATCAATTTATTAGAGAGAGAGAGAGAAAGAGTGTGAGTGGGGGTCTGGGGGCAGCAAGTGAAAGGGGAGAGGGAGAAGGAGGGAGAAGGAGAGAAGCAGATTCCCCGCTGATCTCTACTCCACTTGGGGCTTGATCTCACAACCCTGCGATCATGACCTGAGCCAAAAATCAAGACTTGGATACCCAATTAATTGACTAAGCCACCCAGGTGCCTCACAAATTATAATTCTTAAAATAAATGAAAGTAGATCTGGATTTTGTACAATAAGCAGCTTAATAGCTACAGGATTCAAATCTCATACCAAGTGTTAGTTGGCCCTAGTAAATGTTTTCTTTTGTTTGCTTGTTTATTTAGGATCAAGGTGGTATTGTAGATGTATCAAGAAGATAAAAAAATCATTGCTTGCTTGCTTGATTGATAGAATCACTTAATCATTAATCAAATCTGTATTGCACAGCTACTAAGTTTAAGGTATTTTTCTAGATGCAGAGACAAATCAGACAGGCATTTTGATCATGCAAATTATAGCCTAGATGGGGAGCTAAAATATGTACATCAATAATGATGATCCCAAATAGAAAGTAAAAATCCTGGAAGGGAGATCAATATGAAGTGTTATGGAAATTCAGAGGGGAGAAATTATTTCCAGTTAGGGGTTTCATGAAAGACATGAATAGAATATGTAAGTTTGGCTTAGATTTTTGACATTCAGAGATAATGAGGAAAGGCATTTTAGGTGGAAATAATGACTTAAGCAAACGAATGGAGGCAAAAGAGCAGATATTTAGGCTTGGATTGAATATTGAATATTGGATTGAATATTGAATATCCATATCCAAATATGGATTGAGGCCAAACCAGAAAGGCTCTTGAATTCAGTGTAAGAAATATAATTTTTATTTCTTAAAAAACAAGAAGCCATTAAAGACTTTGGAGCCTGAAATATAATCCTGGTAAAGTTTTTTAGAGTAAGAGAGACTAGAGATATGGGATGACTACATGCAAGAGATTGCCACCATTCAGGAAAGTGATAGTAAAGCCTTAAAATATAGTGATATAATATAAAATAAAATAGTGATAAAATATAGTGATATATAGTGATAGTAAAGCCTTAAACTAAAGGGAACTGACTCATGTTAGAGCTGTCTTGAGAACTGACAGCCAGAGAAGTGGAAGGTAGGACAGAGAGAAAGGAAGAAGGTGATGCTTCGTCTGGGTTCTGTACCTAAGTATTTAGGAGAGCTACATCTGAGTGATGTAACAGAGTTTGAGAGTGGCGGAAGTAGTCCAGACAGTGAGAGATGATGAGTTCAGGTTTGCACATATTTTTGAGTTGTTGGTAGACAACCAGGTTTTGATTTTCAGCAGTTGCAAATGTGATACTGAGGACTTAAGAGATTTCAAGTCTTGATGTGTCATCTGCAAAGAAGTGCTAGTTTAAGCCATGAGATTATATAGAAAAAAAGCAGTGTTTTTGTTTTTTTTTTTTTTTTAATCCTGAAAAGAACATTTTTGAGAAGACCTTAATTTAAGGAGTAAGTGGGAAAAAACCTGTCAGTGAAGTAGACAGAGAAGATTTACTTAGGTAAGAAGGGAGTGAGTACACTGCCCTAGGGAGGGCAGACAGTTTTAAGAATGGGTTATTGAAAGTGTGGGGTGCTACAGAGAAGTTCTTGAAACAAAGCCTTGCAATTGATGACTCAGAGGCAGCTCCATCAAGAAACACAGTTTGCCCAATCAAGAAAAAGTTTATGCTTTTTTTTTTTTTTTTGGTCTTGGCTGTTTTGGAGAGCCTTTTCTCCCAGTATTTATAGTCCTCCCTTAAATTAAATTAATGGAAATTAAGAGGACGAGGAGTAAGTTTCTATCAGGAGAATTGCACGGGAATGTTGATCCTGTTAGGCTACTGCTTTATAAGCACATTTAATCATATTAAATGAATATACTTTATCTGCCTCACTGTTAGAATAATTTCCAGAATATGTATTTTAAGTATGTACAGAATGCATTTTTTTTCATATTGCTTCTTCACTTTAACATAACCATATTTTTTAATTTTTTTAAAATTTATTTATTTATGATAGTCACAGAGAGAGAGAGAGAGGCAGAGACATAGGCAGAGGGAGAAGCAGGCTCCATGCACCGGAAGCCCGATATGGGATTCGATCCCGGGTCTCCAGGATCGCGCCCTGAGCCAAAGGCAGGCGCCAAACCGCTGCGCCACCCAGGGATCCCACCATATATTTTTTTAACTTGGAATTTGGCTGCGGTTGCTTTATTTTGAAGCAATAATGTTACCTCAAATGAATTTGTTTTAGAGTATGTTACCTGATAGTACATTAAAGAAGGTTGAGTAGATGTTATCAACCAAAACCATAGTGATTAATTACATTTTCCTGTTTAAATAATTTTTTAAAAACTCGGTATTATATCAGCTGTTAATAGTTAAAAGCCAATTAGGGAGAAGCTAAAATTATATATAAGATTACTTTCTTTTCTGATTTCTGTAATAAATATTGTAATGTAATACAGTTACTGCATTGCTAGAGGAGTTGAGTGAATCTGATCAATATTTTTTATAATATTCTTCACATTTAGGTTCTAAAGACCAGACTGGCTCTAGGTAAAACTGGACAGTATTCAGGGATCATTGATTGTGGCAAGAAGCTTCTCAAACAAGAAGGTGTTAGAACCTTTTTCAAAGGTTATAGTCCCAACTTGCTAGGCATTCTACCTTACGCAGGTATAGATTTTGCTGTTTATGAGGTGAGTTTATTCTCATAATGTGACATTAAGTGTTAAATTTGAAAATTTGGTATAATAATAGTCTTCATTCTAAAAATCTAGTTGTAAATAGCTTTACATGAAATAGCTTCTGACCAAGAAGTTTGGTTGAGTTGAATTGTTTTATTTGGTTTTTCATTTTGTATAATAGTTGTCTAGTATTCTAATAATAACTCCTTGTTTGCTGGGTTTTGTGTGTGTGTGTGAATTAGGTTTTACTGATATTTATAGACCTAAATGCTGATACAATGGTGGTTCTTAATTCTGAATGCATATCAGAATCATTTACATGTAGATGTTTAAAAAAGAAGATTCTTGGGCTACCTCTCCCTCTGCCCCCGCCCCCTGCATGCATATTTGCGCACGTGCGTGCTCTCTCTCTCTCTCTCTCTCTCTCTCTCTGTCTCTCAAATAATAAATAAGTCTTAAAAAAAAAAGAAGAAGATTCTTGGGCTACATCCAAGAAATTCTGATTTAATTATTCTGGGAGGAGGCCTGGAATCTAGGTTTTTAACTCTCTAGAAAAATATGATGTACAGTTAAGATTGAGAAAGCTGAGATGATTGTCCAGGTGTGAAAATGAGAATTGACAGGGGGAGTCCTTGGGGCGGATGGAGGGAGAGGCAGCATGTAGATAAGGCAATAAGGCAAATCTCCTGAGTGTAGTGCTTGCTGATGAGGCAGAATTCTGAGTTATTCCTTTTCTAGCCAACCATTTCATTTTTATGACCATACACGTATGTTTTAGGCAGGCTGTTGTAATAATATATACCATTTGGTCATGAGAACCAGGTCAGAGTATGTGACTAGTATCACTTAAATTCATTCTCAGTGCAAGAAGGACAGCTCTCCAGCCACAGGCCCAGTGGTATTTTTGGCAGGTGGTACCACAATCACATGAAAGATAGCCAATTTTGTTTAGCACTTAAAAAAATGCGTATATCTTTTATAGATGTTTAAAGTATTGAATATTAGAGCATATATTTCTTTTTCTCCTTTGTTTTCTTCCTTCTGTGTTCTTATTAAAATAAATTCATTGCTCCTGTTAATGTTGGGCTCCCTCCATTCTTTTATTTCTGCAGTTCAGTATCTTTTGCCTTCTTACCAGAGTGATGTTACACATTTCTCTTTTCATTATTGCATGACTGATGAATGCACTGAGTTAAGACATTTTGAAACATATTTTTTTCAAAAGCATCAAATTACACACTTCATGGCAGTTGCCTCAGTATATAATGGTAAAGCTGTATCCTTTGATAAATGAACAGTTCTAAAGGCACTTGGTGATCTTTTAAACCTACTATTTTAAGATAATTTTTTCTTGCCACTTTTATTCAAGGAAAAGAAAATTTGAAAAGATGAATCGTTCCTAAAAGTTTAGAAAATGTGGTTTTGTTAACCTAGAGTGGATTATGCAGTCTTCTCTACATTATTCTGTTAATCCCTCTGAGAATCTCCGGAATTTTGCTTGTGTCTTTCAATGTCATTACAAACCAAAACAACGAGGCAAAATAGAACAAACAAAATCAAAATAAACAAAACACAGACATACAGATGCGAAACATAGGAGTATTCAAACTGAGGCTGTGTGAATACATTTATTTGAAAACGTCTGTGTGCCCTGCCCAGTGTGACAGTAGGGAGATAACCCCCTCTGTACACGGAGTAGAAACAATCTTTTGTAAAGATTTTGGAGAGAATAGTTATTAAGATCAAATGATTAAGCTTCACTCTTATTTATCAGCGCGTGACTTAATAACTCAGTTTCTCTGAATTAGTTTCTTATTTATAAAATGTATAACATGGAGATGACAATATTGACTTATTAAGTTTCTGTAGGGATTAAGTGAGATAACATCTATGAAAATGCTCAGTGTAATTCTCGAATCAAGAAGCTACTCAATATGCTTATTGAAATTGAATGAGCAGTGAACTTTATTCTACTTAGACTTGCATGGTGGCTAAAGGATATTTACTACTATCTTCTTTGTTAGCTTTTGAAGAATTATTGGCTAGAACATCATGCAACAGAGTCTGTAGACCCTGGGATAATGATTTTGCTGGGATGTAGTACATTGTCTCACACTTTTGCTCAGATAGCCACCTTTCCTCTGAACCTTATCAGAACTCGCATGCAGGCTCAAGGTGAGTTTTTTTTTAATGAAGTAATAAGTTAAAAAGTGATTAAGAGTATTTTTAATGAAGCATTAATACAAATTAAGTTAAAAATAGTATTAAAAAACTAGGTTGTTTTAAATGAGTAGAAATTAATGATTCAAAAAAACAAAAACTGTAGAATTGTTAAATCAAAAGCAGACTCTGATTTTTAAGGCACACATCTTGAATTTATTGTTTTATTATAGAGCCTTTTGTTAATTTAAATTTTATTTCTCCTCAATGTTCTGTTTGGGACTTTCCACATTTCCTCCAGGTACTAATGATCTCTTTAAGGAGTTTATAATTAGGAAGTACCACGATGAACAATAGAAAAGATTTCCTTTCTTCAAATTAAGTCAACAGTTACTCAATATGAACATAAAATTTCCCCCTAGTTCTGCATTGTTATATTCTGCATCAAGAACTTAATATATTTGTGGAATTGAATTTGTATTTTAATCCCTCTAGCAAGGAGATATTAACCAGAAGGGAGAGTTACCTGTTGTGTTCCTCTTGAGTGAAATGTTAGGGATTTAAACTTTAAGAAAATACTTTTATTACTTTTCAAGAAGAAAAAAATCTTACATAATTCTATTATTATCTTCCTCAGAAAATTATCTAAGGAGTCATGCAGTACGTGATTCTTTTTTACATTTGTTTTCTTTTTAGTAAGATTTTTGGATTTTATTGCATTCCAGGTGGGGAATCTCTCTACCCACCCCATCACCTTTCCATTGCCCTATCAAAGTTCATACTCAATTCCAAGTGCTCCTTTGAGGTCCCTCATGAAACTTTCAAGTCCAATAGAACTTTTTGCAATGATAGAAATATTTTTTATCTGTGTTATCCAGTATGGTATCCACTAGTGACACATGGTTATCAGACACTTGAAATATTGTTAATGTGACTAAGCAACTGAATTTTTCATTTTACTTAATTTTAATTAATTTAAATTTAAGTAGACACACATGTCTAGTGGCTACTATATTGGACAAGACTATTCTATAAGTAGAGAGAGAGGTATATTCTGAAGTCGTTTTAGCCTCTGTAAATTCTTATTAATCATTGGGCTATCTTAATGTATAAAGATTCAATATTGAATTACACTGATTTTTTTCAATTTATAGCACTGGAAGAAAAAGGAACAACAACTTCTATGATTCATCTTGTTCAAGAGATATATTATAATGAAGGAAAAAGGGGATTTTTCAGAGGTCTCACCCCAAACATCATAAAGTTGCTTCCTGCAGTAGTCATCAGCTGTGTAGCTTATGAAATAGTGAGACAACATTTGGAATTAATTTAAAAGTGAAATATCAAATCGTCATTACCAAAATCACTTAATTGTAAGATAATACCTGGCTTGTAAAGAGAAGTTGGTCTTTTCCTAAAAGGAAAGACATATCAAATAATTGTCAAAACATTTTTTCTTTATCTATTACAAAATTTATAAGTTAAATAACCATTTTGGTAAAGTTCTTTCATAATTTAAAATTCTTAATATCCACAGGCTCCTATTTACATTTCCCACTCTTCTCCCCTGAATCCTAACTTGAAACTTGTTTTTATTGGGTTTGAATCTACCGTGGTAACATTATAAAACATTTGGTCACTTGCAGCCATTGTGTTAACTTTTTCCTATTTAAATATTTTTTTGAAAGGCTGAGCTTGAAAATGTCTAATACACTAAAACAAAAATCATTGCATTTAAAATTGATGTTACAGCAAATGATCACAGTTCATATCTCTTTTTTAAGCAAAAAGGAACATTGCTTTCATAATGTCTTCACAGTTCCTTCTATCAGATTGTGGATGGAATAATGATAGCATGATAGCATATTTCTCTTCTTCGGGTACTTTATTTGTAAATATAAACACTGTTGGTTCATTTTTTTTCTTTATATTTTAGGTTGTTTATAAGTCAGTATTGAGAACAAATCAGCATTGGACAAGTTTTCTTTTTATCTTCTAGTTGAAAAACATTTGAGAGGAAGAATTTTAAAGATTAAATCCATTATATCATACTTGTCGAAGCAATTCTTATTTTAGCCTACTAGTTGATTGAGTCAATCCTTGGAAATCCTAAATATTCCTCTGCACTTTTATGAAAAAAATGAATCCTATTCTCTGCTGGAATTAAATGAGAGTGTGGTGAGATGCTGGTAATGGACTGCGTTGGCCACAACCCAGGCTTCAAACGAACTGCCTTGCTAAACTGACTCAAGTCCAGGCTCTGAGCCTTGGTCTTGCTGATCTGCAAATTTTTAAAAAAAATATTTATTTATTCATGAGAGACACACACAGAGAGAGGCAGAGACACAGGCAGAGGGAGAAGTAGGCTTCATGCAGGGAGCTTGACATGGGACTCGATCCCGGGTCTCCAGGATCACATCCTGGGCTGAAGGTGATGCTAAACCACTGAGCCATCCGGGCTGCCCTGATCCGCAAATTCGACTTTATTAATTTCCTCAAGATCATCACTTTCTTGGTGGAAGATTAACTAATCACAAGATTGAGACACATATCACAGTGCAAAGTTATTCATTTATAGTGGAACTTAGTACTTCCTACTCACTAGAATACTTTCATCCGTTCTCCAGGGCACACTGTTTCCTGGTATTAGGGTGCCTGGGAAACCAAAGAAGTCATGAGAAGATTGATGCAGAATTAGAACAAAGAGAGGAATGTTGTACTCCGACCTATCCCAGTTAAGGTGGGAAGAGGTGGAAGCTTGTGTACAAAGAAGAGTAGTTGAGGCCCGACCTGGGAGAGAGGAGGGGATTGTGGAACTGAAGCTAAACTAAGCCACAGATCACCAGAGGGGAGGAATTCAAAATCTCATGTAAAGCCCAGGAGTGGCTGTGTAAGAGATTTGAGTAATGATGGTAGTTGTTTGGATAGACTTTCACAAAGCATTCCAAATTGATGAGATAGCTTGAGTAGTAATGTGGAAATCATGGTGATGGTGGTGGTGGGGGGTGGTTCATAGAGCATTAGGGAATGCCCGGTCATTTTGAAATATATGGTGTACAGGAAGATATAGTGAGATAAGAGGCAACTTGCTGTAGGCTGGTGCCAGGTCATGGAAAGCTGTGAATCAAAATGTGGCAGTGACATGCTCTGGTGTAAGAAGATCACTGACAGCAGAAGAATGCCATTGACAGAGGAGAGGGGAGAGCCTATGAGACCAGTTAGGATGTTATTTTCACAGCCAAAATTACAAAATGCTGGCTTCTGAGTAAAGGCTTCTCTTTAGAGTGGGTAGATCCAATTATTGCCTCAGAAGTCAAAGTCCAATTTATTTTATTAAGTTCCTGCTATATGCCTGGAATTATTTCAAGACACGTTTAAAGGTTCTCTTGCTTAATTCTAACAGAAAGGTGAGATTTTTTAAAATTTTTGTTCCATTTGTGTAAACAGAACAAAACCAAACAGAATAGTTCACCCCTTCTTGCACCCCCTGTACCCCACCTCTTGCAACCACCAATCTATTCTCTATATCTCTAGGCTTTATATGTGTGTTTTAGATTCTACATTTAAGAAAGATCATCTGTTTGTCTTTGTCTTAGTTATTTCACTTGGCATAATGCCCTTGAGGTCCATCAGTGTTGTCACAGATGGCCAGATTTCATTCTCTTTTATGGCTGAATATTATTCCATTGTATATATATCACAATTTCTTTATCCATTCATCCATTCATCTCTTGGTAGATCCTTAGGTTGTTTCCGTATCTTGGGTATTGTAAATAAGGCTGCAATAAACATGGGGGAGTATATGTCTTTTTGATATACTGTTTATGTTTTCTTTGGATAGTTCCCAGAACTGGAATTGCTGGATCATACGGTGGTTCTACTTTTAATTTTGGGGGGAACCTTCCATAGAGGTTACACCCATTTAATAATTCCTGCTAACAGTGCACAGGAGTTCCCTTTTCTCCAAACCTCAACAAAACTTGTTATTTCTTGTCTTTTTGATAATAGCCATTCTGATAGGGATGAGGTGATATCTCATAGTGGTTTTGGTTTGTGTTTGCCTGATGATGAGTGATATTGAGCATCTTTCACATACCTTTTGGACATCTACATGTCTTCTTTGGGAAAATGTCTATTCAGATCTTCTGCCCACCCTACCTTTTTTAAAGATTTATTTGTTTATTTGAGAGAGAGCGCGCGAGTGTGAGAGAGTGCGCGCATGTGCAAGGAGGAGGGGCAAAGGGAGAGGGAGAGAATCCCAAGCAGACTCCCACTGAGTGCAGAACCTGACGCTGGGCTAGATCTCAGGACCCATGAGATCATGACCTGAGCTGAAACCAAGAGTCAGATGCTTAACTGACTGAGCCACCCAGGTGCCTCATCTTCTGCTCCCTTTTTAATTGAACTTTTTCGGGATCCCTGAGTGGCGCAGCGGTTGGGCACCTGCCTTTGGCTCAGGGCGCGATCCTGGAGACCCGGGATCGAATCCCAGGTCAGGCTCCAGGTGCATGGAGCCTGCTTCTCCCTCTGCCTGTGTCTCTGCCTCTCTCTCTCTATGTCTGACTATCATAAAGAAAAAAAAATTAATTAATTGAACTTTTTCCCCCTATTGAGTTGTATTGTTTCTTTATATATTTTGGATATTCACCCCTTATCCAGATATGTGATTTACAATTATTTTTTCAGATTATTTTGTTGATGATTTCCTTTGCTGTGCAGAAACTGAAGACTTGTTTTTAAGTTTTTGCTTAAATTCCAGTCACATACATACTGCATAATATTAGTTTCAGGTGTACAATTAGTGACTCAGCACTTCCATACAATCCCTGGTGCTCATTACAGTAAGCACACCCCGTAATTCCCATCCCCTATTTAACCCATTCCCCACCTGCTTCCCTTCTAGTAACCATCAGTTCTCTATAGTTAAGAGTCGACTTCTTAGTTTGTCTTTCTCTTTTTTTCCCCCTTTGCTCATTTGTTTTGTTTCTTAACTTCCACATGTGAGTGAAGCCATATGGTATTTTCTTTCTCTGACTGACTTATTTCACTTAGCATAATAATCTCTAGCTCCATCCTTGTTATTGCAAATGGCAACATTTCATTCTTTTTCTATAGCTGAATCATATTTCATTGTATGTATATACCATATCTTCTTTAACCATTCATCAACCAGTGGACACTTAGCCTGCTATTTGGCTTAGGCATAATTTGGCTATGTTGATAATTCTGCTATAAACACCGTAGTATGTGTATCCCTTTGAATTAGTTTTTTTGTATTCTTTGGGTAAATACCTAGTAGTTCAGTTGCTGGATCGTAGGGTAGTTCTGTTTTTACTTTTTGAGAAACCTCCAAACTGTTCTCTACAGTGCCTGCACCAGTTTGTACTCCCACCAGCAGTGCAAGAGGGTTCCCTTTTCTCCACATCTTCATTAACACCTGTTGTTTCTTGTGTTGTTGATTTTAACCATCCTGACACATGTAAGGTGTGTCTGTGTAGAAACTTTTAGTTTGATATAGTCTCACTTGTTAATTGTTGCTTTTTCTTTTGGTGTGAGATTTAAAAATATCATCACCAAGACCTGTCAAGAAGCTTACTGTTCCTGTTTTATGGTTTCTGGTCTTATATTCAATTTTTAATCCAATTTGAGTTAATTTTGTGTATGGTGTAAGATAGTGGTCCATTTTCATTCTTTTGCATTTAGACGTGCAGTTTTTCCAAACCATCTACTGAAACACTGTCCTTTCCCTATTTTGTATTCTTGACTCCTCCATTGTAAATAACTGACCATATATGCATGCGTTTGTTTCAAGGCTTTTTTTTTTCTTTTCTATTATGTATCTGTTTTTATACCAACACTGTAATGTTTTAATTATAAAAGCCTTATAATATAGTGTGAAATCAAGGAGTGTAATGCTTCCCATTTTATTCTTCTTTCTCAAGATTGCTTTTGCTATTTGGAGTTAGAAGGTTGAGATTCTCACAATTTCCAAATGAGGAAACTAAGTTTATAGAGATAAGTACCTTGAACAGATCTCCTAACACTTTCTCTCTCATTAAGGATTGTGCTCATCCCTGACCTTCTGAGCTTCTATTCTATATGAAGACCTACTGTGAGCCAGATCCTTGGAGATGCCATGGATGTTTTGTAAAATACCTTAAAATGATGATTTAGCTCACTGTCAGTAGGGTACAGCCTCTCAATCCTGTGAGATGAAGTGTAAGCCTGCTCTTAGGTACAGAGATGCCTAAAGGGTAACCTCTATGTAAAAATGGTTATCATAATGTAACTTAAACATTGATACTTGGAGTTAATCTTGAAGAAACACCAGAGATCCCGTCTGAATGCCACAGAAGAAAATAACTGGACAATATTTTAAGATCTGTGGTGTTAGAAGTTCAATTTAACACTGAGGGACTCTCTGCATAGTTTTTCGGATACTGTTAGAACCTAAAGATTAGCCTCCCTGTGGGTTACCTTACAGAACTGTGAT